CTGTATAGCCGGACAAGTTGCAGTACAAGACATGCAAGCAATGCTGGGAATTTTGCAACACTGCGACGCAGGCTTGACATGGAAACTGAGATTAGTCCTCGCTGGACGATTGCAAAAAAGTAGGAACGGCACTGCGAAAGTGAGTACTCGTCCGAACTGGAGATACTTGGCTCCGCCGATGTCGACGTTTCGGTCGAATGTTGGCGGAAAGACGATGTGCTGCTATCGGAATCATGGCGACTCATGTCGCTGCTGTGAGTTGACTCACTGAAGGCTGAGAGATTTTGCTGCTCACTGGTGCGAGACAGGCCGACATAGGCATATCCGCGATCGGGGATTCGGCAGTCGAACCATTGACCTCCCTTGTCCAAGGTCGCACCTTGGGCTCGCCGCATGGTTGTTGCCCAACCATAGGCGACGGGCACATACTTTTTTCCATGCTGCGTAATGGGATGAACGAGGATCGGGATGCCCTGGTCAGAATCCAGAACAAAGACGTCGGAGCGGAGCATGTGTCGGACAACACCAGTGTTTCCATTGACGAAGCCCCGATCCTTATCGAGGTTTTGTGTTAATCTGAGTCTCATGCCACGGTCGATCGTAACTTTGCCGGTTTCTGCTGGAAGGCCTCCGCCGCCTCGAAGTAGAGCGGCTGCATCAGGAAATTCCAAGGCCAAACGGCCGCGCCTTGGTTGGTGACGCTCTTGAAGGTGAATTGTCCTCCGGATGCTGCTTCCACAGCTGCAGCGTGCCGAGCCGCCACGTTGCCATCCGGCGGCAGGGTGCGACCTTCGAAAAAGTCGAGCAAGGCTTGGCGGGAAGGCTGTCGAACTCGGGCTTGCTCCAAAAAGTCCAGCATCGCAGGATCTACTGACCGAGCTGCTTCATGGTGCTCCAACGTCACGAAGAGAATTCGATCCTCGTTCCTTTCTCGATCGAGATCATCGTGAAGCTCAGGACCGCCGTGAAGAGGCTGGAGTTGCTGAAAGTCACCGACGAAGACCACGAATGGCGACGGGATCAGCTCGCCCAAACCGGTCTTAAACTTTCGCGACACGGAAGCTTCGATGCGCGCGCGCGCGCGAAAAGGTCTTTGGAAGTGCCTTGTGGCGACCCTTGCTTAATGGCGTGACCGCAGCCTCAGCTGTTTCAGGCAGTGCTTTCTTTCTTTCTTTCAATAGCCCTATTGAGAGATCCATCGGCAAGAACAACACAATATTGTGAAGGTTTAGCGACTGCAAAGAAACACACTGTGAACTTGTTGTTCTGCAGGTCGACGAATTAGCGGTCTAGGGTTTAGGGCCCCAGTGTTTAGCGGCATAGGGTTTAGGGCCCCAGTGTTTAGCGGCCTATAGGGTTTTAGGGCCCCAGTGTTTAGCGGTCTAGGGTTTAGGGCCCCAGTGTTTAGCGGCTTAGTGTTTAGGGCCGCAGTGTTTAGCGGCCTAGGGTTTAGGCCCCAGTGGGTTTAGAGCTCCAGTGTTTAGCGGTCTAGGGTTTAGGGGTTCAGTGTTTAGCGGCTTAGGGTTTAGGGCCCCAGTGTTTAGCGGCCGAGGGTTTAGGTCCCAGTATTTAGCGGTCTAGGGTTTAGGGTTCCAGTGTTTAGCGGCTTAGGGTCTAGGGCCCCAGTGCATGTTTAGTCTGCCCCCAGTGTTTAGCGGTCTAGGGTCAAGGCTTCAGTGTTTAGCGGTCTAAGGCGTAGGCCTTGGGCTCCAGGATTTAGAGCTTAGGGTGTGGCTGGGCCCCTCCAAGGGGTCAAAACATCTAGATTGTAGGGTTAGTCCTGGAACGCTCGAAACATCAGTCTTCTAGAGCTGGGCCCATCCACGGGTCAAAACATCTAGCTTGTACGGCTAGCCTCGTCAAAGCTCAAAAAAATCTGTCTTCTAAAGCTGGGCCCCTCCAGGGGTCAAAACATTTAGCTTGTACGGCTAGCCTCGTCAAAGCTCAAAGCATCTGTCTTCTAAAGCTGGGCCCCGCCAGGGGTCAAAACATCTAGATTGTAGGGCTAGTCCTGGGACGCTCGAAACATCTGTCTTCTAGAGCTGGGCCCATCCACGGGTCAAACAACTAGCTTGTACGGCTAGCCTCGTCAAAGCTCAAAAAAAATCTGTCTTCTAAAGCTGGGCCCCTCCAAGGGTCAAAACATCTAGCTTGTACGGCTAGCCTCGTCAAAGCTCAAAGCATCTGTCTTCTAAAGCTGGGCCCCGCCAGGGGTCAAAACATGTAGATTGTAGGGCTAGTCCTAGGACGCTCGAAACATCTGTCTTCTAGAGCTGGGCCCCTCCGAGGGTCCAAACATCTAGCTTGTACGGCTAGCCTCGTCAAAGCTCAAAGCATCTGTCTTCTAAAGCTGGGCCCCTCCAGGGGTCAACACATCTAGATTGTACGGCTAGTCCTGGAAAACTCGAAACATCTGTGTTCGAGAGCTGGGGCTCCTCCAGGGGTAAAAACAAGCTCAAAGCATTTGTCTTCTAAAGCTAGGCCCCTCCAGGGGTCAAATCATCTAGATTGTACGGCTAGTCCTGGAACGCGCGTGCGAAAAGGTCTTTGGAAGCCATTGGTGATCGAGAGTTGGGGAGATGCAAGTCATGACATTTGACAGCTGTGATTGCTATCGTAAACCCATGGCGTGACCGCAGCCTCAGCTGTGTAAAGTAACGTCCTTTCTTAAGTAGCTTTCTAAACCAATCCATCGGCCAGCACAACACATTTTTTTGGGTTTAACGACTGTAGAGAAACAGCACTATGGCCTTGCCGTTTTGCGGGTCGATGAAGTGGATATCAGTGAACACAGTCCGATGTGGAAACATTGAAAGACATGAAATCGAATTTGATAGCTGTGGTTGCTATCGTAAAACGATGACGTGACCGCAGCCTCAGCTGGTTTGGGCAGTGCTGCTTTCTTACCCATCGGCAAGAACAACACAGTTTTCTTAGAGTTTAGTGTACTCTGAAGGGTGAACATCCGGTGGGCCTTGCTTTGTTGTGGATCGACAGTTGAGGAGATGCAAGTCATGACATTTGACAGCTGTGGTTGCTATCGTAAAGCGACGACGTGACCGCAGCTTCAGCTGGTCTGGGCAGTCCTTTCTTTCTTAACTAGCTCTCTTGAAAGATCCATTGGCAAGAACGGAATTTACGGAAATGTAACAAGTTCTTTAAGTTGTATGTCAATTATTATTTAATAATTCAAGCGAAATAAAACTTCTAATTCGAATGTGAGAGGATTCTCTGGGCGGGTGGGGTTTGTTCTTGAAGATAGCTTGACTAGAAATAGCTTGACCTAAAATCTTCAAGGTCAGAGCTGCTGAACCCCTAAACCCTAAACCCCTAAACCCTCAACCCTAAACCCCTAAACCCTCAACCCTAAACCCTAAACCCCTAAACCCTAAACCCTCAACCCTAAACCCTATAAACCCCTAAACATGTTATGGACAGTCCGAAGGAGCTCGGCGAGGTCTCCTACTGCCCCGGGGACAAGGAATCGGCATGTCCCCATCATCCCCCCGATGGATCCCTTAAGGAACCCTATAGATCCCTTTAAGGAACCCTATAGATCCCTTAAAGAACCCTATAGATCCCCTTAAGGAACCCGATAGACCCCTGAACCCTACACCATGAAAGCAGAGTCTGGTGTACCTCACATGGGTATATCAGGCAACCCCAAAACCGCGTGCTCAAGAGAGTTTCTAGCTGGGTTCTGTGGAGAGTTGCGTCTTGACTGCCGGGTTCCGTGGAGAGTTGTCTTGACTACGGGGACTAGAGGTCATGAACAGCATGGCTATTTCGGCTCGCTGGAATTTCGGTTGCCGGGGCTCCACAATGCGTCGGGGTTTGAAGACCAGGTTAGGGTCCTATATAGTAGAACAAGGGGTTTCTTTTCTAGGAACTGCTTATTCTGAATTTGGGGAAGTCTCCCTCATGACAGTACCTAGGACACTTTGGGTAATTCTGTGGGAGGGGAAGGGAGCATTGGGTTTAGCATCGAGGAGTCTCGTTGTGCTAAAAGATCAGAATTTCGTCCGGGTGTAAGTGGGGTTGAACTGCTTGGCATAGCTGCGATTCCGACTTGCATCACCTAGGAGTCCAGAAATTCAGAACAGCGCTTTGTGGATTTCAATTCCACAAACTTTCTATTCCACAAACTTCTTGGGGAATCCAAAGGAACAAGATCACACAGGTGGTTGTCAAAACTATGGTCCCTTTTGGGGTCCTTAGCATAAACCCGGCACCTAATTTTGACAACTACCCACATAGTAGCTCAATCCCACTAGAAACTCTGAACACCTTCTTAAGCTGCTCACAGCTGAGAGAATTGGACTACGGTGAAAATTGTCATGTTCGTGCCGTCAAGTTTTTTGGTGGTCTGGGCAGGGATTGAGGTCATTCCTTCAAGTGTTCTTGGCACCGCTGGCGATTTAAAGAACGAGCGCATCGCATCCGAGGCGGGGCAGGAGCGCACCCAGTAAGTCCTCCGTTGAACTACAGGACCCCACGGCTCTTGCGTGCCCCCAAACCCTAAACCGCTAAAACCTACTTGGAGGTTCATGGGTAGCTATAAGTAGGATTATAAGTAGGGTAACTATATTAGTACAAGCCATATTAGGGGAATTTTAGCCCCACTTGTAACTACCCATGAACCTCCAAGTAGGTCTTCAGGTCGCATCTTTGCAAACTTGGTTTCTATTCAATACTGAACTTAGAACCCTAGCAACAATTACAATTTTAGCTGTTTCTTAGGGGTGATAATAACCAAAAATTAAAACTCATTTCAAAGTGCCCCTAGTATATTATGCCTCCGGGCCATACAACGCGCAGGTTCCTGAAGGACAGGGGAAGTCATAACAACCCTACACCCTAAACCCCGAAACCACAACCACGAAGCGTCCAAAGGACCCAATACTTAGGTACTCGGTTTTAGGATATCAGCTGTGTAGGTTAGGATTTTGGAGAGTATCTGATTATTGGATACTTGGACCCTTGGGGAACAGCCCGGCACTTCACTTGCCGAAGATGATGCTGGAGCTGCAGCAGGTGCGGCGGCAGCCATCAAACTCCTTCTCGTCGAGCCTCGCAGTTCACTTCTCAAATATGGGGGGCCTAATAATTAAGATAGGGTTTTGGGACCCATTACACTCTACATATAATGAGGAACCCCACAACAATATTGGTGATTATTTAAGCTTCTATGTTATAGGGATTAAAGTCTACGGTTTTTGCGGGTGACTTCTCTAGCCTCAGACGCTAAAGCCCAAATTCTGAGCAGGTGTGGTTGAGGGCCTATCCGGCACATTGTTAAGGGGCTGACAGGATTCAGGGTTCAGGAAGAAAAACAACACCAAGGCATAGCTCGACAATGGCTCTCTTCGAAGGAAGGTAGTTCTGGGCTCCATCCAGGCGCAAGCTCAGGGTGTAGAACGGTGGGCTTTGGCAAACTACAGGCTTGGGGCACCCGACATCAGGGCTCCGAGTGTAGGGACGGCTTAGGCTCGGGGCAGGGGTTTCGAGTCTAGGGTTTCGGGTCGTACCCATGACAGAAAACGCAGGCCTTCGTAGTGTAGCAGAGGATGCAGACTTTGGCATGCGCGCTGCCTCGCGGATGCCTGGGAGTTACAGGGCGATGCTGTGCCACATCCTGAACACCCTGGATGCTTGACTGAGGCTTCGCGTAGTCTTATATAGGGACCTTCATAATGAGAATAGGGTCTATTATACTTCTTTTCATAATAAGGAACCCTAAGAACAAGATTGGTTATGATTGGTATTTGTTTAAGTTGAACATTAAAACTCTACTATTGGTAATACATATAATAATCTAGCCCTAAGAAAGATAGCATTGGCAAATTTACTTAAGCGCCTATGTTCTTGGAGTCTCTGGGTGCATGCTATGGTCTCCGACCTCATCCGGGCCTTGATCCGCAAGTTACCTTGCACTATGGGGTTCCTTAGGAGCCTTATTAGAAGGGCACCTAGCCATGAGTTTATAGTTTGTTTTTCAAGTGCCCTAGCCATAAGCGCTTGAAGGTAGGGTTCAATATAGTTCAATATTTGGGTGGTTGTCAAAATTATGGTCCCTTTTTGGGTACCCTAAGTATTAGGTGCCGTATTATAATAAGGACCCAAAAAGGAGTGCGTTTGGGGGCCCGGGTTCAGTTCAGCCTGGTTCATGCAGTGCTGCGGCCCCGGCGGGAGCAGTCGAGCCTTGCAGGAGCATTCACCACCTCAGCAACCGACGGACGGGCTGGGCTTACAATCTCAACCACCCTAAACCCTGAACCCCCAAAACACCCTACCTAGAGGAATGCGTAAGCCCTCCCCCTAAACCCTAAAAACCTAAAACCAAAACCCTACAAATCCCTAAATCCAAAACCCTACACCCTAAGCCCTTGCTCACTTCAGCATCTTGAAACCTAAACCCCTCGTACCTTGGGGCCAATGTTAGACCTTAGCTAAGCAGCTAGGACGCCCAGTAACCTAGGAATAAAAAGGGCTAACTTTACAAGGAACCTAGGACTACAAAAAGAGAATAAGGATACTACTGGGCATCCTAGTTAGGGTGAGGCTTCAGGGAGACCGCAGAGGTTCTGAGCACAAGGCTTTCGGGTCCGAGGGGTCTACAGCAGAAGCAAGTAGGGTTAGGGGCTTAGGGGTTTGGGGTAGTTATAGGGCTCCGGGTTCAGAGTTTATGGTTTAGGGGTTTGGGGAGTTTAGGTGCTTGTGTTGAGGGTGTAGTGGCTCTTTCTCCTGCCAGCCTCAGCGAGACCTACACCGGCCAAGACAGTTCCTCGCAGTTCAGGGCCTAGAGCTTCAGGAACATCACGTATCCTCCCAACCTAAACCCTCAAGAATGTGTAAGGCAATGGCCCAAAACCCATAAAAAGGCTATTATTCTACATACTTTTGGGCTTTTGGGGTCCAGAACACGGAAACTGCAAGGGAAGCCAGGCCATCACAACTCATCCAAGTCCCATGCGCTTTAAGCGCCTATCGACATTAGTTGGCCTTGAACCCCAAGCACACTTCGAAGCCCAAACACATCAGCTTCTCTAGTTGCTCGGATAGAGACTTTGAGGGCTGGTGCCAGAGAGCATCTGGAGCCAGAAGGTTGCATGGGGGCTCCTAGGGTCGGGGGCAAGGCTTCTCTGCGTTGCATGAGAAGGCCCAGGCGTTCCATGCCTCGCCTGGCTTTATGCAGCACTGCAAGCACACAACCCTAAACCCTAAACCCTAAAACCTATGAACCCTAAACCCTAAACTTGTTTCGCGGGATGCAGCACGAAGCCTGGTTCGCCACGCCCGGGCTCGTCGACCGCCGCTCTGCCCCACAGCGATGCAAGAACACGCGCTAGCGGCTTGCAGGATCGGTTCAATTTCAGAGCGCCTGTGTCCGCCGCCGCCTGTCCGCCGCCGTTGCAGGTGGCGACTGGGGAATCCGCCTCTTCCGGGGTCCCCGGCGCCGGGTTCCACTCGAGGCGCCCGCCGGTAAGTCGGCCACTCGGTGAAAGCACCAGATCCTGTACGGCCAGCTACAGCCGCGGGCCTTCCAGAGGAAGCGATCTTCCGTCGCCTCCGACGGGTCCGGCGCGTGAACTTTCTTCTGCTTCTCATTGGCACCGCCGCCGCGGCCCTCGCCTCGAGGCTTGGAGATTTTTACACAGCCATGCAGGATTCCACCTTAGTCCGTCTAGAGATAGGCAGATAGATGGTTTAGGCTCTTGGGTTTGGTTTCAAGACAGGACGGCCAAGTGTCGAAACCCTGAAGCCTCACCACGCAGCCTTAAAGGCCGAAGCGGACAGCACTTGGACCCAAAACTGCCCGGACGATTGCTAAACCTTCCGAAACTCGGCTACGACTGGTCCTGAGTTTCGGGCTTTAAACGCTTACACCGTAAACCCTAAACGCCGAAACCCAAAGCCCCCACACCCGATACGCAAGAATTTAAAACCCAAAGGCCTATAAACCTGCTAAGAAAGCTCCAATCAATCGTGCGCCAGGATTTCCCACGTCAAAAGCTCCTAGATCCCAATTAAGTTCATTGAAGCAGGAAAAGGTGCCCTAATTCTGCCACGCCACCGTGCGTGCCAGCAGTGGCGTTCGGCCGTCAGCCCTGACTTCAATCTTTCGGGTGCCCTGAATGCCCTGAATAAGAATACAGTCGGATAGTCGGACTCTACTTGCTATCCTTGCTAGTTTCTGCCTGGAACCCTGATGCCACACCCTGATTTGTCAGGATTTTTACTGGGGCTCCGCCTGCATCAAAATCGATTGACCCGACTGCCATGTAGGAGTCCGCGCCTTAACCTTCAAAGGACTGGAATCTCAGCCCGCAATGACTATTATCAGTATAAAATACCTAAGCCACCAAAAGTAGGTAAAGAACAGCCCGAACCTATAAACGGCCATTATTCTACATACTTTTGGGGTCCAGGTATAATGACTGTTGAGGGGCACGTGTCTATATGGGTAGAATCCACCTCCGAAATCTTCCCGGCACCTTAGAACCTTATCCCTAAAGGGTCCATGTACCCAAATAGTATATACTTTGGGCCCAAAGATGCCCAAAGTACTTGTACAGGGACTACTTTAAGGCCAATGTATATACTATTTAGGTACATAAACCCTTAGGGTATACCCGGACCGTCAACCCAAACCCTTCTGCTTGGAATCTCGCCGCCGGATTGCAAGTTGGAAGCCCGAAATGCCGCAAGCCCGCAGCACGATTTAGAGGTTAGGGTTTAGCGTTTAGGGCTCGGAGATTATTTTCAGAAGCTAGACCTCCACAATCCCAAAACTGAAGCTGCCCGAACATAGGATCTCGGGCTTCGGGTAGAGAGAGTTTGTAAAGGGTTCGGGAAACTGGAAACTCTAAACCCTAAGTCCTACCTGGGCCCCCAAAGTATGTAGAATCATAGTCTTTTACAGGTGTTGTGCCATTATTTCACCTTCCTCTAAGGGTTGTATATAGGTAAGCCCCAAACACTAAATCCTGGGCCCGAAAACCCCAAAGCTCTGAACTGACGGCCCGAAGACGAGGCCGGAAGCTATCACAAGCTAGCCTTGGAGCATTGAAAGAGCTCGGCAGCTCTGGCATACCTCAGGATTTAGGGGTTCAGGGGTTTATAGTAGAAGCCAGAAAGTTGGAATATGGCTTTAGGAGGATGAGTGATTAGTGCTAGGATCCCTTATACTTTTACCTTAAGGGCATAAGGATAATGATGTTCCAACTTTCTAGCTTCTACTGTAGGGGGTGAGGGGCTTGGGAGGATTTAGAGCTTAGCGGTTAGGACTCAGACTGTGGTCGTTTTGCGAAACACTTCTGACGATTCCACACACAGACACACCAACACTACTACCACTTTAATACGAGTAGGAGTCGTCATGGATGGTTAAGTTGTTAGTATTCTCAGTGCGATAATCGCCATCGTGTGTATCTTGTTCAAGCGGATTTCCCACATGAAAGCTACCTCACCCAGAGGCTCCGTATGCAGTACCATTATGGAATTAGGCCCCAAAAGACCATACTTATCGGGGTTTTAGGGGCTTAATTCCATAGTGGCATTGTATCTGGAGCCTCTAGGTCAGGATCAAGCAGGGCAAAGCTCACCCCACGCCGTTGTGCCATGATTGACACTTGTGCATTCTTCAACTCGTCTCAAACTGTGTAGAGCTAGCATAAGGCCCCTACGAAGCCCTTATAGAACCATACGTCGTTTGACCATCCAAGACCTTGCAGAGCAGAGCCGCCATGAAACAGTACAGAACAATATAGAACCCTGCCAAAACCTTGTACAACCGTTTTCAAACCGTTTACCACAAGCCTCACAGAATGTCAGTGACACTCTCGGGCTGCTTGTTGCCCCCAAGGCCTCTTGCACTTATTCAGGCTCCACCATATTCTCCAAACCCCAAGCCCTAGACCCCGGCCCGAGGGCAATAGCCAAGCTTCGTGGGCCAGTGCTCTTTTGAACGTCCAGCTCCACTGCCGGCCTTCTGTTTCATGTTTAGGACTGTGGTTGGGGGCTTCGGTTTTGGCCGCGGTGTGCAGGCGCCTGTCGGGTTCACGATTTGGGGCTTTCAGTGGGTTTCGTGTCTCAGGCCCCTTGCCGCGCTCGCGCACGGTTCATATAGCACTCCAAGACCTCTAGGCTCCAGTTACTTAAACACAGAGTACTAACCATCTAATATGTATGCCAGTGAACCCATCCCTAAACTACCCTAAACCCCATTGTTCAGGAATAGGTTATTCAGTTGACTGGTGTCACAAGGCACTGGGCTTTAAGAAACGCCTTAATTACAGGGGGGTTTAGGGTTTTGAGTTTAGCTTTTCCACATTTAGTTTTATGGACCTTTCCCGACTGCGCACAGGGTCAAAGGTTGAGAATTCACGGGCTGGAGCTTAAAACGTTCACGGAATATTACACGTGCTGCAAACTCTTCCCGTATCCCGTGCCTGGGAAATTTCGTGGCATCTGCAAGAGAACCCTCAGAAACATAAATCCGAAACTCAATGTAGACACACACTGTGGACAGATCACCTCCCCATCTTGTTTGCTCGAAGACACACACCCCGCAGTATGTTCGAAGAACTGCCGTGAAACCCGCATTTCCTTTATGGTTTCAGCAGGCCCTGAGGGAATTGAAAGCGTCTGGCGCCTTGGAGCTGTCTCGCCATTCGGCCTGGAAAGCTTGGAAGACTTGCTTAGCTTTATGGGTGTAGCTAGGGTCTTCCTTCACAACATTACCGTGCTACTTTGGGGAGCTAAACGGGCCCGAAGTTACAGAACTACCTATAGTCTGCATTGTAGTTCCTTTCTTTGGTTTAACCATTTTCATGGTTGGGATCCTAGAGTATTCTATAAATTGGCTAAACCAAACAAGAAGAACTACAATGGATACTACAGGTACCCTTCTGGTCGAGGGCTCCGGGTCTAGAGGGCCTCAGGTCGGGGATCCTCTTCCGGGCCCAGGAGTAACCTAGGAATAAAAAGGGTGCCCTTTTTGGATTAAAGGGGCTTATAAGGTAACCCGAACCGTAAAAAAGGGAACAAGGGCCTACTCTGGGTCCTAGTCTTTCTCCCTGGCTCTGCCTTCGTGGCTCGTTTCTGCGATATCGAGACTCCGGGCTTAAGGCTTAATACTGGGGCCTTGATAATTAGAATCGAGTTCCTTTAAAGGGATCTTTGAGGCCTACTATATGGGATCAATAAGGGTGCTATAATATAGGGGCCTAAATAGTTAGAACAGGGTTTTAGGCCCCAGTATGCCAAAATTACAACAAGGACCACCCAAAATAGTATAGGCAGGTTATTATTGAGGCCCCTATACTACACACTTCATGATTTCTTGGGGTTTACAAGGGTTTGTCGTATGAAGACTTGTTCAAGCGCAGGTAAATTGAAAATCGGAAAGCCAAGCTAAGGGGACCACGTGTGAATAGTGTAAGCCTTCGAATTCCATCTGTATTCTGCAGAACACGGCAACTGTTTTGTAATATCGGAACATAATGTAACACGTAAATGTAACTAGGTATATCACGAGCTGGGTTCTCGACAGGTTGCACAGCAAACTGTCGAGCTGCAACAAGCTCTGGTAAAGCGCCCTCAGAAGAATCCAGAATCGACCCTCATCGTTAGACTATGTTAGACTGATGTAGATTCTGCATTCAGGCTGCTTACTAATAGGAACTCTGCTGTACTGGAGCCCGAACAGAGCTCTGGTAGCTGGGAAACTGGCTATACAATGCTGTTCAAGCGTGGTGAATTTCAGATTGTAGATAGATGCTCTCCATGCAGCCAAAAAGTTACATACTCAACCCTTCTTAAACCGAGTCCCACAGATGACTTTGGTCTAAGACCAGAGCACGCGAGGTGCGGATGAGTCCACATCTTGGCGGGCCGAAAACGGCGTGCTTTGGGTTCTTGAATCTACAGAGTCCGGATTTCAGATTTAGTTTAAGGGATGTTTAAGTTTGATAAATAAGGTTGAGGGTGTGCGCTGTGTGTTTGGGTGTGAATATCTGTCCCTTGGTTTCGGAATGACCAGAAGGGCCACACTACAATTCTGAATTCGGAAGCTTGTGGAACATGCAAAAACCTTGCGCAAGCTTTCCTGCCTGTGCTTCGACATGCTCGTCCGGCACCCCAAGCATCCGAATCCCATCATCTTACATATCCATCGCAATAGTATGCTTTATGTTCAGGACTGGTGTGCTACTAAGCTCCATAGAGGTTCAAGAAGTGCAAAACACCTTTTTAGAGATCCTTACCCAAGTTAGCAACATCTAAAATTTGGCCGAACACGGGTCATATCCCGTTGCTACTACTAGTAAGCTCGGCTTGCATTGAGGAACCCCTCTCCACGTCCGGAAAGGAACCGCGGCATTTCAGCTTTCGGTACCTGGGGTCCCCTAAAACCCAACCCTGCACTGTTAGACTATCCTAACATAGCTGCCTAAAGACTTACAGTACGCTCTTGGGTTATAGTAACTATACACTATGAACAAGAAGGCGCAACCCTAAGAAATAATATGCTTAATTTTTCAGGCTGCTTTCACCCCGAACTCTACACTCTTGGGGTTGCCGGGCTTCCCGAGTGCTTTCTGAGCCCAGCACCGGTCGGGTGCACTTCGGGACGTTTGCGGTCCAAATTCTGGTAGACCTCGCTTCCAAATCTTGGGATTATAGGAACGCTAAACCCTAAACCATAAGCCCTTTAGGGATACAGGCATCTAAGGCTATGGGGTCACGGGCTTGAGCGTTTGGGGGCTTAGGGGCCTAGGGTTTAGGCTGAGGGGTTTCGGGGTGTAGGGTTAAAGTATAGTACAAGGGTTTAGGATTCAGGGTGAAGGGTTCGGGTGCAGGGTGTGCTGGGTCGACCACGGGCATGTGACGATGACTCGTTCAGCTACCACTGCACCGGGTCTTTAGCACGTGTGCTGCTATTTCTGGCCAGGCAATGTTATTCATCGGATTTGCTTCGGGGTTTGAGGTTCTCAGGTTCTCAACTCTAAACTAAAGTCTACACCCTAGATTGCGGTCTAGGCAGGAGTTTGGCTGCAACCTCCAGAACTTGAGCCTGAAGGCTTCGGACGACCCGTAGTCTTTCGACATGAAACATGCGCCAGACGCAGGCATCGGCACGAAATCCTAAACAAGCCCTTAACCGTATGCATGAGATCAAAGCACTCCAGAAAACAAACAAGACAAACATTGCTCTGAGTGACAAATCGGGTCTTAGTAGTGGTGAGTGAAGTGCAACCCTAAACCCCGAACTCGCATGGCCAGACATGCTCAGGGTTGAGTGTTCTCTCAGCAACTTCGAAGGCTGCTGTTAATAGGGCCCCAAAAAAGCACATAAGCAAAAACTAGGATAGGGATATCCCATATAAATCCCCGTATAATGAAGCCCATTATGGTAGGGATATCCCTATAAAATGCTTATGCGTATGTGCTTTTTGGGTCCCTCAGTTAAGTTGTTGGAGCAGGCTCTGAGGGCCCGCGCACGGCTGCACCAACCCTTACCTCAGATGCGTGCGAGGCCGTAGACCTTCAACCCTGAGCCCTGAAACTCTAAACCACTGACAAAAATCCTAAACCCTAAACCCCTAAACCCTAAACCCTAAACCCCTAAACCACTAAACCCTAAACCCTGAACACAAAGCCCTAAAACCACAAAACCGTATTGTGAGCCCTTAGAAGCTGATCCCCACTAGACCCTAAAACCAAAGCTCTATGTAGACTCTACCCAGAGGCTCCATAGTAGTTCCTTTCTGGTATTACCTTATAGGATTCTATATATGAACCCCGCAAAAGGAACTACTTTGGAGCCTTAGGGTAGACCCCCAAACCCCATCATGAAAACATGGGCAGCGGCAGCAGCAGCAGCAGCAGCAGCGCAACAGCAACAACAGCAGCAACAACAACAACAAACAAGGAACAACCACACGCAGCAACGACATCACCAAGACCAACACCAACAAAACACGAGCCGGAACCTGAACCCTGAACTATCGCTCTGAATCGTGAAATCTGGCACTCATGAAGCCTAAGCCCAGCCCTTCACCGTCCGCGACTTCCAAGCTCATGACCATGTGCAAAACAGCGCACAAAAAGAAAGGGGACACCCTAAACCCTGAACCCTGAACCCTATAAACCCTAACCCTAAACGCTACCTCTTCTATATGTGCAGGACGAAAGGCTGATGCCGGGTAGTTCGCCATTCTCTGGCCTCATTTAGACCACGGCTCAAACTCGTGGGCGTGTTTCCGATGGATTTAGGGCAAGGGTTTAGGGTTACACGGTTTAGGATTGGGGCTTTAGGGCTTTAGAGTTTACCGTTTACGTTTTAGGGACCCCTTAGACTCAAAGGGGAAAAGGAGCCCTATAATGGGCTATATAATGGGTATCTAATAGCCATATTAAGGGTATATACCCAGGGGTCCTTATTAAGGGTCCCTCCTTTTACCCTTGGATAGACTGAAGCCCCGAATATTGGTCTTCGGCCTGGTCTCGTGACGGTATGTGGACCAGGCCGCAAAAAAGCTTTGGGTTCCTCTACCCCCCTTACATATTAGAACCATATTAAAAATAGTATGGTTAACATTCCTAGATGGGCCTTTTAGAGCTTTTGAAAATATTAGTAAATAAGATCCTCTTAAGCCCAATAAAAGAAAATATAAAATGTCCCAAAGCCCTACCTAGATTCTCTTGGGTTTTCGATGAGCAGATATAAAAACAAATCCTGAGGAGACTGTTGGTTCAAGAGCAAGCCCGTGCTCAAGAAAGCAATAAACCTCCGAGCTCTACACAACAATATGGGGTAGTTCTTAAGAGTAGGGTCTCTTTTAAGACCCGAAAAAGCACCCTAATTTAAAGAACTACCCATATACCTGACCCTTGGCACCTGCTTACAAAACTTGAAGCCTTCATCCGGATCTCTAGACCAAGCCTCGGAACCAACACACCAAGGGCAAAGCACGGCAATCGTCACATAATCCACTCTATTGTCATATCATGGCAGTACCCAGCCAGACCAGCCATGCATCAACAGCAGAAGGAACGACACAATCATAGCCATGGGTTCTTGCGGATCTAGGATACCCAGTAACCTGAGAATAAAAAGGCCTCTCTTTTTGGTATTGGGTAACTTTATAAGGAACCTAGGACTACAAAAAGGGAATAAGGGTACTACTGGGCATCCTAGGGATTGTCAAGAAAGCCAGAGCAAAGGAGCTCAAGCAGGCAACAAGCAAGCACCCCAGCAATCACAACATTAGCTGCTGCTAGCAACAAGTGAACCTTAGTTTGGAGAGGATCCCACTAATCAAACGACAACATGAAACCCCGAGTCCTACAAACCCTGAAAAACAAATCCAAACCTCCCGAGTCCGTGGGACTCCCGGGCATGCGGCAAACGTCGGATCCCTGATGGCAAGAGTGCCGGTTCCACCTGTTTTGGGTTTATTTGGGTCCAGGGCTTAGGGACGTTTATGCTTAGGGCTTGTGTAGGGTTTTAGTCTAAGGTATGGGCGAAGCCCTCAGCCCGTGTTTCTACGCGGTTTGTGTTGGAGGCATGATTAATATCGAGGTCGGCGACGAGCGAGAATCAATATTGTAGCTCTAAGTGACTGCCAAGTGCCAGAAGCGAAAACCATACAGCGGTACAGCTGCAAGAAGGTAGCAGGGAAAGGATAAACAAAGGTTTAGCTGAGGCTTAAGGACCCCGAGAGCTTGTGGCGCAGCGCAGCTGCAGCATGGAATGGGACGAGTTCCGCCTGGACTTCCCATTCTGCAAAGGTATCCGGAGCTTTGGGAGTCACCAGAATCAGATGGCAGTTTCAGAGAACATGGGGGGTCTACTACAAGCCCATAAGGCCTAAACCGCCCAAAATTAGTGGAATCTTGTTGCTGGTATATACTCGCTAATCTGAGACCTCCGCAGTCAAAGAAGCCCGCAATAGTTTGTTGGGTGGGGTCCCAGGCTAGGACGTTCGCTGTTGGCATTAAGGATGTACGAATCGAGGGCTGATGTTAAAACCCTGAATCCTAACCACTAAATTCTAAACCCATTGCCCTAGACCCTCTTCGGGAAGGTTTCAGGTTTGGCGCAGCGTCTTGTTAGGGTCGCCGGACCAACACAAAATATCACGTGAAATCTTCGATACCAAGCATGATGATGCATCGACCAGGCCAGGTGAACCTCATTGCTGCCCTTATGTCTGGCCCCTGGCTGTCGACCCTGAGTCCTGAACCCTACAGACTACAAGTTTCTCGAAAGCTCCTGAGGCCAACAGTAAAGCCTAAAGAGCCACTGCCTTCGCCGACTGCTTCTTCATGTGCTCACCTGCTAAGGCATCAGCTCGCCGGGAGCTGCTTGAGTGTTGGCACAGCTACATATGTACGCGACTTGACAGTAAGGTCAATCATGCAAGCATGCATGCAGGAAGCATCTATGTACCCAGGCATGTCTGGCTGTCTTGATTCATAAATACGTGTGTAGACACGTGTGAATGTGCATGTCGATCCTGTTTCTTTCTATCTACACTGCCTATTACCTATCTATTGACCTACACATCTATCTGTCCACATGCATGGGTCAGCCGAGCTTTCTTGGCGATATGCATGTGAGAGAGAGAGAGAGAGAGAGAGAGAGAGAGAGAGAGAGAGAGAGAGAGAGAGAGACAGAGAGAGACAGAGAGAGACAGAGAGAGACAGAGAGAGAGAGAGAGAGAAGGGGAGAGAGAGAGAGAGAGATGCGCTTTTCAAGATAACTGCTGTATGTGCGAACAGAACACACCAGCAAGTGAATAACGATGACACACACACACACACGTGTATTACCCTGAGGGTCCGTGTACCCATCCAAAGCACCTATATAGGGACTACATTAAGGCCAATGTATATACTATATATATATATATATGAGTACATGGACCATTAGAGTTATACATGTATATATATATATATAAATATACATATATATTTCTATATATATATATATATATATGTACACACATACACAAACGTATTACATGTATGTGTGTATGTGAATGTGCACATGCACTTGATCCTTCATGAACTTACTAACGGATTTGCATGTACACGTTTGCAGTTTTCGAACTGTTGCTCTGCTGTGTCGGCACTGGTGAATAGGTGTAAAGCATCGTAGGTCTTGGCGAAGATTGTGAAGCCTAAGCTCAGAACCTCTCGAACCGACGATTCAGCGTGTATGTGCCGCAATGGGATGAAAGCAGGCAAGACAAGTATCAAGTAATTAGCACTGCAACCGTTAGTCGCTGCGGCCAGTCAGATCAGGAAACGGTGGTTCGTGAGGCTTTCCGTAAGTCAGTAAAGCAAGCCTCTTGTTCGTAGTAGAGGGGTAAGATTGAAAACAGTGACATGCAAGGCATACACCGCCTGAGAGCTGGTGTGCGTAATTACCGAATAGCTGGCCAAGGGCACCCCAAGTACATTTCTGATCACCACGTCGTCTTTCTCAGACTTTCATGTCGCGACAGGATGACTGCCTCCCGTGAAAAATGGCTCCCTTTACAGTTCCTTCGCTGCCAGACGATTGCTCATATACGCAGACCACCAATAGCCGAAGCTCTTGTTGTTTTGGAGACGATGAAGTACTTGATTCAGATTGTTCTATGTTCAGGACCATGGGCAGACCTACCCTTAGCCCAAACCGGAAGACTCTCCTGCTAAATGCCTGAGACCTGGTCCTCACGATACTTATATACAGTTGAGGGTTCAGGGTACTAGTTGCCTGCGAAAGCGTGCAAAAGCGGCAGAGACTCCACAAATTCCTTCTGCAGCAACCCGAAAAAGGCCAAAGGAAAGATCTGCGCGGTCGAACTGCAAGCCCTACATCCTCGTGCTAACCCCCCGGTCGGCGCCTAAATTTCCATAGCTCATGGACATTCGGATGTTCGACTCCTGCCCAGAGGCTCCAACGTATCCCTTACCCTAGGCTTCCAGGGACCTTATTATTGGGTCAGGTCTTTGGAGGCCTTGGGTCAATCAAGGAATATACCCCTAAGTTATAGTAGAATCCCTAAAATGATTTAAGGTATACTCCTCAACACAGGGGTCTTAGAATTCCCCTAAGCCCTAAACCCTATAGATCTCTTCTGGATCCCTTAAAGGAACCCTAACCCTCGGTATACTCCTTAAAAAAGGGATGTTCGACTCCTGTTGCCAGAGAGACGAACCCAGACTGAGGGTGCCCTTAGCAACCCAGGCAGCCGAGCAGAATTCATAGAATAGGGTTTAGGGTTTAGGGGGTTGAGGGTTTAGGGTTTTGAGGGTTTTGAGGGTTTTGAGGGCTTAAGGGTTTCAGGTTTAGGGCTTCAGGGTTTAAGGGTTCAGAGGGTTTCGAGGGTTCAGACCCTGGGACTTTGGGATTGTTGGGTCTCTTGGATATTGGGTCGACGACATTTTCTGCATGCAGGATGCAGCACACCAAAAGGGCGAAGCCTTGTGAGCCAAGTTCTGGGGGATATTGGAGTCTCTGGGAAGCAACCTTCGTACTCGGGCATGCGACGTTGCTGCATTGCCACATGACGTCATCTTGTTGACGGCTATGGGAGGAACCACCGACAAGGGCTGAAATCGCATCGGCATCAGAATGATGGGACGAAGACAACTTTTGAACGAGGCAGACATGAAAGTAACGAATCCTGGCGATGAACTCTCAACATTCTTAGCGGTCTGAGGGACTGTAGACTGTGGAGATCGTGGTCTCATGTGACAGTTGGGTATCTAGCTGGATGGCGCAAAAATCATCTTTAAGTATCCTGTATGTGTGATGTCAAGCCTGCACGGATGCACTGAGTTTGAACCCCTAGGTCCTCATCTCAAGTCAAAGGTATACCCGGCTAAAGGATTCAGGGAGACCTCGCAATCCGTTGAAGAACCGGAACATCCGTCAAACACAATGTTGGCTTTAAAAGGTGAAAACAAACCCTATGCAATACTTTTCCTTGCTCTGGCATCTCCATTGCAGGGTTATAGTCATGAAACAGGTTTGCCGATTTTCTGCTTTAGTTGGCAGTGCGGCGCTCTACAACAATAGTAACTACCTTGGTCAATGTAGATAAACTAGCTGCAGAGCACAGTCCTTGTCAAACTCGGTCTTCTGGATCAGCAGCCAATCCTCAGTTCGGCTCAGATAGCAACCCAGAGACTCCAAAATCCCTTGATTATGTAATATCTCTTAAGTTATAGTAGCATCCCGAACATGATATTAAGGGGTTTTGGAGGCTTTGGCAATTCGTAGCTTTAGGGAGCCTATCCTGTTACAATTTTGCAGGGTCGTGGCAAAAGGTTCAGAATGCTGAGACTAGAAGACACCTGCCTAGTGCGCGGTTTAGGGTACTCTAGAACCTGAATATCACAGAGCCTTAGGTGTTGCATTAAAACTGCAGTTTAAGGTTGAAGAGTTAGGGGTTTAGCGTTTAGAAGTCAGGGTGTTGAGCTTTGGGAGAGAGGCTGGCTTGGAAAACACATCTTGAGATTCGAGCTGCTTCAAAATTTATACGGCTCCCTATCTTGGCATGTGATCTCTGGAAAAGAGGAGGAATAAGTGCACCTTACCACCCAAAACCATGCCTTTTTGAGAGAAGGCCGAAACAATCCTAAACATGCAGGGTTCTTCAGGGTTGAGGCACAGTTTTGGGATTATGGATTCTACAGGTTCTCGTCAGGGTGCAATTCTAGGAACAATCCGTAACCAGGACCCAGTAATCATGTAATCGGTAAAGTCTCTGCAAAACTGCCGCACAGGACGACACTCCAAGAGCACTGCATACTACACAGCACGGGGAAGCATTACCTAAACTCAAAAGGCCCGACCCAGCCCAGCCTACCCAAGAAGGTAGACCGTGAAGCCTACAGAGCGAAGCTAAAACCTGAACCCTAAAACCCTAAAGCTTATTGCCCAAAACTGGAAAACCAAGGTTTAGGGCTCAGGGCCCTACCCAGAGGCCCCATAGTAGTTCCTTTTTGGGATTACCTAATAGGATTCTATATACGAACCCCAAAAAGGAACTACTTCGGGGCCTCTGGGTAAACCCTAAATCCAAAACTCCACTTCTTAGATCCACAGGGTCCAAGTATCATTATGGTACATACTTATAGGATATTTTGGGGGGTCTAAGCATATACCAAGATGATACTTCGGCTGATGGACAAAATCCTGCATTACTCATTACAAGGAATATACCATAGTTCCCATAGTTTAGAATCCTTATCATAGGGATCCTTAGGGGTGTAGGGGGAGGGGGGGTAGGGGGCCTTAAGGCCCATAATAAGGACTAATACGGCCTATTTAAGGAAATATAGTCCCCTACACCCCTCCCCCCTACACCCCTAAGGATCCCTATGACCTTAGGGTCATGCAGGATTTTGTCCATCAGCAGTTGGACCCTTTTGGGGATGGACTGAAGACCTCATCGGCCATGTCCTTCTGAGCGCCTGGCACTGGGTGTGAACCGCTTGTTGTCATCCATCTGCAACGTCATGGCCTGAGTCAGGGTTTAGGGTTCATAGGGTTTTATAGGGTTCATAGTGCTTATAGGGCTTATAGGGTTTAGGGTTCGTAGGGTTTTATAGGGTTCATAGCTTATGGGGCTTATAGGGTTTAGGGTTCATAGGGTTTTGTAGGGTTCATAGTGCTTATAGGACTTATAGGGTTTAGGGTTCAAAGGTTTTATGGGGTTTTATAGGGTTCATAGTGCTTATGGGGCTTATAGGGTTTAGGGTTCGGGGCTTATAGGGTTTTGGGTTGATGAAGGATTTCCGAGCTAGTGGTATAGAAGCGATCAACGCCTAAGAGTGAAAGTTAGGATTTAGGAAATCCTGAGCTGACCGCATTTCAAAATCACCGATAACCACCACCTTACAGGGCACAGCGCCGCGCACTGGGAAGGGTGGTACAGGTTCGGCCTCCTGTAAGATCCATAGCCAGTATTTTGACATGGGACAAGAGGCGAAGAAGGGACACACGAATTCAAGCTCTGCCACCGTTGGGGATAACATCTGTCGCAACCAAGGAAGAGGGCCAAGCCATGTGACCGTTAAGCACCAGGACATGCCTGTAACCTGTATGATTCTGTCTGTGTGATACTCCAAACCAGTTTCTAACGGTCCAAGCCCTTTCATTGTCCAACCCTCGCTAAACCGCAAACCCCTAAGCCCTATACCCCCAAAAGTTGCAGAGGGCGAGGGTCTGTTGTACGAAGCCACAGAATCACAACCGCGTACAGTAGCTCTCTCGACGGATCCCGCAAGAGTTCAAGGTTCAGATTTTCTCGCTCATGGGTTTTGTACTAGGTTTGAGGGCCTATATGCACATGGTTATATTTTTTATTAAAGTGAATCATTGAATTTTAGGAGCTTCGTGTTTACGGTGCTTGTCGGCCGTGAACCCTCTTTGATAGCGCTTGAGTGATGTGCCACTGCTGTACCACTGCTGTCCCAGGCACTGGTTGAGGTCGACGAGACAGCCAGAGAGCTGCCAATCTTCGGAGAGTGTATAGTCGTTCGGAAATCCTAAACCGTAAGCGCCAGAAGTATAATAGCTGTTCGAAAAAATCCTAGGCCGTAACGCCTGAAGCTTCGTAAATCCTTGAACCCTGCCTTCAAAGGCCTATGCTATGCATGCCTTTTACAGGATCTTATTGCTTCATGCCACCGAGCTCCAGGGAAGAAGGTCGTGATCCCAGAACAGAACGGGTCTCATGTAGGGGTCCAAGCGCCTAATCATCAAACCTTCTTCCCAAAACTGACCTACAACTACTGTCTGACATCCAAGTTCCGACTTGTTGGATTCTTCGGACCCTGAGGGATACCTTACACTGCTCTAAGCAGCTAAGCAGTAGAGCTCTGTCCCTGCTGATGACAATGACTAAACAGCTCATGATCCCCAATCCCTGAGTAACATAATCTTCCGTATGCGACAGCCGACAGCCGACGACAGACGGGGTGCTGGTGCGCAGAAATCTGCTGTGAGCCGGCCGCAGCGACACATGTGCCAAGTACTGTCGAGAGTTTATCTCAACCTATGATAATCTCAGGCCTGTAGCAGGGATTATCCCCACGACGAATCAGGTTCCACACAGTTACTAAGGCTTTAGAGCACGTGGCTTCGGGGCGCTTTGGGGAATTTCGGAGTTTCGACGTGAAATCCATGAAGCCCAGACTGCAATAGCGTCCTAAACCCGAAACCCGATGCAGAGGTCCTGAACAACGAACGTCAGGCTCCTCCGACCATACTAAGGGCCCCGTGCTTATGTTCTGTTTGGGGTCCCTACATACAGCCCCAACCCGGTTCAGCAATCCTGTGCGGAGGGGCAGAGTGGGCGGTGGGAGGGGAGTGGGGACGGGAGGGGGCAGTCGTTCCTCGAGCTGGAGTCCCACTTCTGCGGGGCTAAAGGTCCTTGGCATTACTCAAACAACATACTCTTTGGCCCTAAAGTACCTTTTTAGACAACCCTTTCAGCCCAAAGCATATACCATGTAATTAATTGCACGGACCCTTACTTAGGGTTAGGCATTCCTCAGGGCGGCCAGTCCTTTTCTCCTGTCCTCATGCGGCTTTCGCTGCAAAAGTGACTCCTTCAAGGAATGCGGCGTCGGAGGGCGCGGGGTTCGACCGTCAAGGGTGTACGCTTTTGCGCATAGGTTGAGGGCTCCGGGTCTAGAGTGCGCTTGAGCCTTCTAGCATCGCTTCCCAGAGACTCCAATATCCCTTAATTAAGGAATATTCCTTAAATCATGTTAGGAATCCTACTATAATTTAAGGTATATTCCTTACTTAAGGGATATTGGAGTCTCTGGGTTTCCCCCTGTGATCCTAAGGGTTGTCCGGATCAAAAAGTCGATGGTGCTCCCTGTCACATAAAGGGAACTCCAGAAAGTTGGAATATGGATTAATGGTAGGATCCCCTACAATTTGCGCTAAAGGGGTTACGATAATGATATTCCAACTTTCTGGCTTCTACTGTAGAGTCAAAGAGGCCGTAATGATTGCGTTGTATAAAGACTGGAATGCTAAGAACATGTGCTGGTAATCACTTATGTCCCCATACTACTTACAAGTAATCCTCAGGCGCAGAGTATTGAGCTATGGTCAATACGATCCTCGGGAAGAACACCACACCTGGTCTCAACAAAAAGGGTGAAAGGCGACATTCGGCGCGAAGGGGAGTGCCTTTTGCTCTTGCCTTCAGGTTGAGGGATCACGGCCAGGAGGTTGAGGTCTTTCGGTCTTAGGGTTTAGGGTTCTGGGTTTAAAGTGTAGGTGTTCAGGTTTTAGGGCTTAAGGTTTCGGGTTTGGGGCTTAGGGCTTTGGCCTTAAAGATCCTGTAGCTTCTAGAGTTCGTTGTGCAAGTACGTAAAGGGAACTCCAGAAAGTTGGAATATGGTTTCAGGGTAGGATACCCTATAATTTACCATAAAGGGTTTAGGATAATCATATTCCAACTTTCTGGCTTTTACTTTAAATGCCACGGGCCAAAAAACTTGTCACGGCATCCAACGGACGAGGCAAAAGGGGCCCTAAGACCAAGCTGGACCCCCGTAGGTGATGTCAGTTGCACCCAACCATTAGGTGCTCAGGTTTCGGGCAATAGCTAACTAGCTGTAGCTCGCTGTATGGGAGAGTATGTGCTTAGATATATATATATATATATATATATATATATATATATTTATACATACATATGTATATATGTGTATATACATATTTTCTTTCATTTATTACATTTGTTTATGTATTATTGCATACTTGGACGCTTGGGGGTAGAGTTGTGTGGAATTGCCTTCGGTTCTCTTTATGCTGTGACGGCTGCCGACGGTCGGGATTGAGTCAAGAAGATGGCTTGGGGCTTGCCAGGACCTAAGTTCCGGAGTTAGTTCTGAGAGGTTCATGGCATACAAGACTTCTAGATTCTACTTTGAGGTTCATGGGTAGCTATAAGTAGGGTTATAAGTCCGCTAATATGGATTATCAGTATAGTTAGTCTACTTAGAACCCTACTGATAACTACCCATGAACCTCCAAGTAGTCTAGTACACAACTACTCCAGAAGAGCAAGAACGTAGCATGAAGCTGAATCAGCTCACCGTCATAAGCTTGGACTCCTTTTTGTAAATGCATCCGATGGTAAGTGTAGCGTGGCAATTTGCTCGGGGCAACGACTCAATGTGTACTTTCCAAACGGATGGACGTAGAGACATTAACAGGCAGAAAGGAAGATCTGACGAACGCATACATGCACATCTGGCAAGCAAACTTGTACATCTATGCAAGGACATAGGTACACCTGCAAGGCCATCCATCAGGAAATAGGTACCCTAAACCCTAAACCTAAGCCCCTAAAACTCCAAACCCTAACAAGTTTCTGTATGAGTGGCACTCTACTCCTCTGCAGTGGTGTGAAATCGGGCTCCCTGAAGCAGACCCCAGTGCAGTTCGGGCCGAGCCGGGCGTGGAGCCTCAAACTTCTATAGGGTGTTACTGTTGATAGTATAAATCAGTAAGGAATACGGATCTATAATCCTAGGGTTCCTTTCTAAGGGGTTCCTTTAAGGGATCTATAGGGGGTTTAGGGTTTAGGGATATAAATCCTGCATTACCCACAATAAGGAATATACCATAATTCCCAGAGTCTAGGGTCCTGAAGGTAATGCAGGATTTATATCATCAACCGTTATTTGGGAGTTTCCGAAAGTTAGGGGCACCTTCTTTGGGGTCCTTATTGATGAGGATCCAATTTTTTAGGGTACTCTATTAGGGTCCCCTATTTTTGGAAACTCCCATTTAAGTTTTGTATTGGGCTTTTGTTGCTTTGTACCAGGCTTTGGAATCTTTGGACTGACAATCCCCCTGTTCACGAACCTCCCTGACCCCTAGGCCCTGCCTTATCCCTGGAAAGGCGGCATGTTTAGGGTTTCTGGGTATATGGCTTCTTTTATGCGTCCTTAGAAAGTGCGTTGACGGGGGGAATATGGTAAAACCTAGAGACCCCAAGCAGCAATCTGCTCGAACAGCTTTGGAGGCCCATGTGGATGGTTCTGGGTTCGCGCTTATCGGGCTCAGGGAATCTTATTTCAGAGTATTTTTCAAATGCTTGGACACGGCCACATTCAACCCTGATTATAACACCTTTAAGCACCTGTAGAAACCGTTCGAAGCTTTCAGAACCATATATAACCCGCATTACCCTAAAGCCTAAACCCTAAAAAACCTGAACCCTGAGCCCCAAAAACCTGCATCGTAAACCCTAGGAACTAAGGCTGCCGGTCCCGAACTACTTGCAAACCGAATCCCTACTCCGAAGGCCTTAGTAGTTGGAGTTTTGCTTTTTTGTAGCACAGTCATAATTCTAAAAGCCCCAATTAATGAATATTGTTCGCAATTATTCAGGCCCCTACATAAGTCTAAGTCTAAGTCATGTGCCCTGTCGCCTTTGATCGGGCTGCGGGAATGAGGTCTTGAGTCGAATTTAAGGAACTGAAG